AAATTAATATTAATCCTTTACTCTTTTTCCTTTCCCTTTTCTTTTCTTCTTGTTCCTTTTTTTCACCTTCTTTTACTAATTTTTATCCAAACATATCCTGAAAGTGAAATGACTTATTACCTCAGAAACTAGCTGCGGGGCATTGTGAAATGTTTGGATCCTGCTGTGAGAAACGAGAAAAGATGAATTTTATTATTCTATGGTAGTAAGTGAAAGAATTGAACAAATGCAAAATGTTCAACCACCAGCGTTGTTAGGAGAAGAGAGGCTAAGTTTAATAAATAGTTTATTAATTATGTAATTTATTTTAGTTTAGTCTAAAAACAATTGTTTCTTTCAGAATAATTTATAAACTATCAGTTTTGTTTCAAAATGATCTACTTAACAAACATTCTATTAACTAGACTAATGGAGTTTTCATTTGCCCAACCTCCTTTTGCACCATTTCCTTTCCTTGTTAACTGTTCAATACCATCAAGACCCAAGGCCAAAGGTATCTCCACTAATTGGTCCTGCATCAAACCTGGCAAGCCATCAGTATGTTCCATATTTCCTGTCAAAGCCATTTCTCTTACAGTAGAAGTAAGGGGTTGAGCTATTTCATCCGCAATTTCTCCCACACCATTAACATTGTGCCATGCCATTTGGTTTGCATTTGCCTCTAGATCTCCAACAACATTATCATTGTGTCCCTCTACTTGGCTTGCTCCATTGGCAATAGTCTCATAACGCTCCTGGTTTCCTACCATCATATCGCCAGCTATATACTGTGCATTTATAATAAAGGTTCCATCTAATATATCAAGATCATCTGGGCACCATGAGTGTTCCAATTTAGCCTTTAACCATGATCCATATAGATGAACAAGTTTACCTCCACCATCTTTGATATTGTTGGCAATTTCACAGTTATGATCAAGGTGTCCTATGCAACCTTAGACAAAACAAAATTCTGGAAGTTGTTCGTATTTGATTCAAAGTTTCTCACGTTCTGTAATCAAGATCTGAGAAGTTTTAAATCTTCTTGAGGGCTGATTCACATCCAAATCAATTCGAACTTTGATTGCCTTGTGAAAACTGTCATCAAATTCCAGAACCTTCCCCAAAGAGTTCCCTATTGTGAGTCCAATTTGCTCTGATTGCATACCAATAGGAACATCAAAGATTCGAACCTAAAAAGGATTTGTAGAAAAATTATACTGCTCCACTGTTAAAGAGGCTTGAAACCGTTTAAGAATTAGTAGTGAATTACTGAAGTTCCAAGGTTCTTTGTGAAAAGCCTTGTTGAGATCCCTAATCTCAAAAAATTGAAACAGATAAATTTTGTCACCAATTTCAGAAATTGTAAAAGCCTTCCTAGGGTTCCAAGCAACCATTAACGCATCATGAAACCCATTCATATTGATCTTTTTTCGAGATAGTATCTTCCCCACTAATCGCAAATTCCCTACCTTGGGTTCATCGGGTTTCTAGAGCGAATGTAAGGGAAGGATACCATCCTCATCTTCTGTGAGACGGACCTGATTAAGCATAGATCCAAGTTCTTCATCTGCCATTCAATTCACACCCCCACAACCACCAGCAGCAAGGAGATTAAATCGACACCCAAGACTAGATCTGCAGCCCTTGGTATCCAAGGTCGTGCCCCAGTTTTAAAGTATTGCAAATAAAGCAAAAGGGAAATTGGAGGAAGAGGAATCAAGGATATACGGTAGGAAAGGGAAGGGAAGTAGTGGGGAAGGGAAGGAAAGGTGGCTCCACAAACCGGAGAGGGACCCGAAGGAGAAATTCCACTGCCACCAGAAACCCTAAAGTTTCAGAGGACGAGGGAGAACTATTATTATTATTTTAAGTTATACAATAAAAGACAACATTTTTTCATCCCTTTAACCTCATCTCTCCCATTCCCTTAACTAATTATGCCCACATGCCATGCCAATTGAACTCAAAAACTTATATTTTCATCATAAAAAAAATTATTATTAAAGTATTTAAGTCATTGGCATTATCTTATTTTATTTATTTATAATTATAAAAAAAAATTAATTTAATATAATGCTCCGTAATTGAAATATATGAACTATCTTTAATCACAATTAAACAAAAGTGATAATGCATCCTTATTTTATTCTAGATTAAATTAAAATGGAAAGTATGTTACATACATCACTATTAATTTAGGCAAGTTCTATCCTTTTATTTAATAAGTATAATAACATAATGGTAGTTTTTACTTAATGTAGTTTAATGATAAAGTTATGTTTTTTTTTTTTTTTTGATAGGAAATAGAGAAATATATTAAATAATGAGAAATTAAAATATAATTCTCCATCTCATGGTAATATAGCCTAAAGCAGCATATCCTAAAGACAGAAATCAGAAACATAACCTACAGCACTAGTAACAGATTTAAACTATACCCATGACGGATATAGACAGTTAAGTAAAGAGAGCCATTTGCAACTAGAGATTGTGATTACAATCGTTGTATGGGCTAAATAGAGCTACTAATGTAGAAAGGAAAGTCGCTATGAGCATAAGAAGCTACTGGACCTCCTCACCTATTTAACCGGCTTCATGGGGAAAGCAATGGATTCCAACAACAAATAGTCCCCAAGCCGCAAGTTGCCACCCTATTTATTCTTGAAGAATAATCAACAGAAGGGGCATGGTCCTCCATACAAGCCTAGGCACCTCCCTTGTCTCCATGGGCTCCCAACCATAGCCCTAACTGTTCCAGTCCTCTTCAATCCCTCCTTGCCAAAATTCATTAAGGGAATGAGAGCCCCTTCAGCAACTGGAATAGCATTCTCCCCTTGCAAAACACCACCGGTTTCACAAACAACATCCTTTTCCTTCTACTTTCGGCTAGAAAACCCAATAAACCTCCAATGACAACCATTTGGATCAATGATTTCAATAGCTATAGGGGATTGTGAAACAGAGGATTGTCGCAGTTGGAAAACATCTGTTCAAAACAGAGCCAATCCACCCCCTACCAACCTAATCAACAACAAAATCGTGTGCAAATCCTAGATCTACGCGAAGCAGATGCATCGCAGTAGTGGATCGCTTTGTTTCAGAGAAGAAGATGATGTGAATCTCCATTGCAGTAGTGCATGAAACAAAGCTTCGTTAAATCTGAAATCACAGAGTCCTCCTTGAGGTGTCGACAATTTTAGGTCAATATGCGATTCGGATCCAAGAAAGGAATAAGGAATCGAGACAAAAGCAAGAAGCAGAGAGGAGGGGCCCTAAAAAATAGGGAGAAACAACTAGGTGAGATGCTCGTCCGTCGAAGAGGGAAAACCCTAGCAACGATGGAAAGAAAGAGAGTTTTTTGAGCTTCCGTATATTTTTAAATTATAAGTTTAAAATTTAATCCCTAAGGCACCTCACCATTTAGGTGAATTGACTTAAAGGTGCGCCTCCCAACTTAGTGAGTTCGGTTCAATCCTTTCCCTTTACCCCCAAATTGCTTTTGTTCAAAAAATGAAAAAAAATTCCTAAGATCTATGTATGTACAAAAAAGAAGTTCCGACTATTTTTTTTTTTTTTTTAAATTTTGGCCATCAATAGTTTTTAGCATTATTCCATAAAATGAAAAAAATAGTTTCTACTATTTTTTGGCGAAGCACGGACAAAGTTATTTTTATATTGTTTTTATTACTACCGTTCAGTAAATTGATAATCCAACCTGAAATTTTGTTTTCGGGTCAGTCCATTCATTATCTTTCGGGTCAGTTTATTCATTGTCAAAAGGGCCTATTGGGCCTTAATGAGGTGCAGCAAAAACGGACGAGTTTATTCAGTTTTGGGTTGGATTGTTTTAGATCATGGGCCATGTATCCACACGCTGGCCCCTAGGTCTTTTCCTTTCTTTATTTTTTTTAATTATTTTTTTTTACAATTACTTTTTACTTCATTTTGTATTTGTGATTTAGTGTGTGAGTAAATGTCGAGTTGGCTGATATGTTATTTAGATTGTGTTTGGATTAGTTGTTTTGAGTTATCTAACAGTTGATAGTGTTAAACAATAATAATTACAATTCATGAGACATTTATTATTACAAGAAAATAGAATTAACTTGAGAGTATAAGGTTGAAAAGAAAAAATTATTTTAAATTCAAAAGACATATTTATTAAGTTTATGAATCTCAATATATATATCAAAAAAGTATTTTACAGGATGGATTATATATTAAAAGACTATATATTAAAAGTATAATTTATCTTATAAATTTATTTAAATATTTCTAATAAAATTATTTTTTATTATTTTATTAAAAAATATTTAAATAAATTTATAAAATAAATTGTACTTTTAATATACAATTCACTTAAAGCACTTGAACTATATATATATATATATATTTCCTACTCTTCCATCTTGTTATCCTCCCATGTGAAATTCTTTATACGTCCTTAAATGCACCTTACATGTAAATCTTTTACTCTAGCTGTTGTAAACTATCATACCAAACATAGTCTTACTTCCTCTGTACCACATTAACTAACTTTTTGGAAGAAGAAATTTGTTCCTTTCCAATTGAGGTTTAAAGAAACTAATTGTTGCATTTGCATTAATTAGATGTTGCAATTTTATCCTCTCTACTAATCCATAAATAACGAGAGAGAAGAGCTTTGCGAAGGCAAAGTGATGCTTTAAGCTTATTCCTCTTTGAACTCGAGTAATTACATAAACTTCTCTTTCTTCATAGGTGCTTATTTTAAAATTTAGAGAACAGTTGTCAATTATTAATTTTAATTGAATATATTTTAAATTATAAATAATAATTATTAATTATCAATTATATTAAAACAATTAATTTAAATTTCTTTTTATCCTCTAACAATTACTGTATTAATTATCAATTATATTAAAATATCTAATTGAAACACCTCTTTATTCTCTAACAATGCCGAAGACTAAAAATCCACTAAAACCAAAGTCTCATAAAAGTCAGTGTTCGACCCGCAAAAGATTGGGATATTACGGCATTCATGCCACTCAAACACAATCAATCAAACTCAAAAAAGGGAAAAACTAATCCCCTGTTAAAACCACAAAATTTTTTGTATGGGATTTTTTATCTTGTACCCTAAAGATACAATAAATACTTTTTTTTATAATTATAATATATAAAAAATGATAAAATTTAATTTGAATTTAACTAATTGATTAATTAAAATTATCCACTTAACAATAATACTAAAATAAAGCAAGGTCTCGAGTTCTCCTTAAGCAATTATTTGTTAGTATGAGGAGAAAAAAATTTAGTTTTCTTTAAATAAAATTTCAAGTTGGAGTCTTATAAATTAAGAAATAAGCATTGGAAGAGTTTAGGCCCTTATGGAGTCTAACGTGATTTAATTTTAGATTAATCAGATCTAATGTGATTATTGGATACAGAGAGGTTAATACAAAAAAATAAAAATAAATTATTATTATTTTTTATATCAATTAATTGTAAAAAAAATAAATTTATTACACTTTAACTTGTGTCCTTATGGTAGACAAACTTTTTTTACTATTAGTCCGAATAGATTAAACACCCATAATTAAATGGAAAGCCCTCTTCACTTTTTGGAAAATTTTATTATTCCTAATCCATCATTCCAATGTGGAAGCTGGAAAGTTTTTCTAAAAAAATCTTACATCTCTTCTTTCTCCGTCAATCAATTGTAAGCAAATGTAAGGAAAAAGAGTAGAAAGTGGTCCCAAACATTGAAGATTGAGAACAGAAACCAGAACAACCACAGAATGGAAAAGGAAAAATGGGAATTTTGACCGATGGAATGCTTTCCTATGTCAATAACGTGAACCATGATATAGTTGATAAGGTCGTCTTTGTTCGGCCAGAAATTCCCGTAAAGTAAAGCAAAGCAACTGTGCTTAACACAAGGCATTTCTTGTCGGCTTGCCGTTAATATGGGTATAGGATACTATTAGTAATGGTTTATAATCTGTGGGTATTTATAAGCGAAAGAATTAAACCGGAAATGACCACCCATGTATTGTTGATTTTTTTTTTTCTGAGAAGAGTAATGCTTAGGAAATTAGAATGAGTTAATTGTTAGCAACTGAGGATTCGATTCTTAAACCGGATGAACATTTCACCTTCTCAAATGAGGCACGCGGCCATCAAGTCGCTTTTTAGTGAAATTCACGATGGTGACAGATCTTAAAACTCTGACCACTTTCTCCCAAACACTTAAGATTTGAGGTTAAATCATTGAATCTAAAGGCCGGATTCCATGTATTGTTCACTTGTTAAACTAAAAAGTGGGAAGGTAACCTCATACTGATACGGAGAGAAAAAGCGGCAGGCACTGTTAAACTGAAAAAAGTGAAAGTGTCACGCACTCGCAGGTGGGAAGTGTCCTCTCGCGCATCACTCATTCGCATATAGAGACTTGTGTCACTAACGTCTCCAACATCACTCACGCGCATCTTGACTCTCTCTCCCCGACATCGCATCTTGACTCTCTCTCCCCGACATTAGAATAGCTAAGAAGCTTTGGATTGTAGTTGGTCGCTTCTAATATACTTTATTTAATTATAAGATCCGACCGGATCGGAGGACACTGTTAAGATGAGTAATTATCTGCAAGACGATTTTGAGGGACGACAAATGAAAGTAAAGATCAAATTGATAATTAATGTTGGGATTGCTTCACTTGTCGTCTTTCGTTTCGTCCTTCAAAA